CCGAGTAGTCATCACATCTAGGACCCGGGTTGACATTAAAACCCGACCCGCTATACTACGCTTTAGGAATTGGTTATACTTGGCCATTTTCTAGGGTGACAGTAACAGTGAGTCAAGCTCCGGCATGGATTTCCAGCCCCTACTTCCTCTCGGTTTGACACTAGAAGAGAAGGTGGAACGGGCTTGTACAAAGCTAGTAATCAACATGGTTACTAAGGGTAAATTGGGTATGAAAAATAAATTGTATTAATTAATTTTTTAATAAATTATATTTTAAGTAGTTACAAAAATTTATTAATTACAATTTTCTCTATTTCTCTCACTTCCATAATTTCCAGCCAGATCTCCTTTTCTTATTTTTCTCAATCTTTCTGCAAAAGAAAAAAAGCACGAAATCACTACCAATCTATTAGACAACCACTACCACATTGAAAAACATCAATACCATTGCAGAAAATAAATATGTACCATACACGAAAACTACCAATATAAACAATCTACCAATATAAATTTATACCATTTCACAAAAAATAAATACCATTGCAGATTTAATCAATACCAATACATGCAAATTAATACCATTACATGATAATCAATACTAATGGGACAAAAACATACCAATGCAACAAAATCAATACCAATATAACAAAAACAATACCATTGAGACGAGAGGGTCGGAACACAGATCGCTTGTCCATCGGCTCCTCCCGCTGCCAGGTAGAGAGAGATAAATGAAGAATTTATTCCTTTTGCAAATGTGACCAGATGGTGTTGCAAATGTGACCAACAAGTGGAATATGTTGGTCAGGAGCCTAAGATCTCTACTGCATTGTTTTTGGGTTTTAAAGGTGGGGAGGGATGGGAGGGCGGACGGCGATGGGAGGGAGGGAGAGAGAGAGAGAGAGAGAGAGAGGAGGAGGGTGGGTGGGGGGAGGGAGGAATGGGAGAGGGACGGTGACGACGGCAGGTGGGGAGGGATGGGAGGGTGGACGGCGGCGGGGTGAGGAAATTAGGGCCGGCAGCAGTGGGATGGGGGAGGATGGGTTGCGGTAGGGTTTAGATATATATAGAGTAATCAGGTGTGGCTTTTTTTTCATTTTCAAAATTATTCTTTATCTAATCTAACCATTAATTTAAAATTAAGGTGAAATAGAGATAATGAATGGTGTAGATTTTAGTAGCCACCATGATTACTACAAAATAAGTAACCATGCTAACCTATTCCCCGACTCGGCGACTCCCTCGTAGCAGAGAAAAATCTTCCTCTCTGTCACTCCCAGTCCCACGTTTCATCTCATTGAAAATCGTCACTTGATCGCCGTCACCGCCGAACGTACTCACCGCTGGATTCTTGAGAGTCATGAAGCACCATGGATTAAGGAGGAGGAGAGTGTTCGTAACTTCAGTACTCGCTGCAGTAGTGCTCTTCACCGCCACTGGCTTGCTTCTCCTCACGCTGAGATTGGTCGATCCTCCGCCTTCCATCCCTCGCGGCTTCCTTCTTGTCCTCGACGGAAGAAGATAGAAATGTGATTCCCAGCCGGTGACTCCAACTCGCTGATGAGCAATTTAATTCCAACTCGTGCGTTACGGTCAATGAAAAGTGAAAGGGAGGATTTAATTGATTTTTATTCCTAAAGCAATTTCTTTGTAGCTACAGGGGAGTCGCCAGAGGCTCAAGATAGAGTGCATAACCATGGGTTATGCACCCATCAATAACCAAATCTGGACCATTCATTTTGAAAATCCAGATCTAAGGATGGAGAATTAAAGATCATTTTTATTTTCACTAGCTTTCTTAATTGACTCATATCTTTTTCGTTTTAACTCGGATTTTAATTTTTTTTTGCACAGATGAAACGAGTTCACCGTGCTCTACAAAATGAGATCAATTTTCAATATTTTTTGAGAAAAAAAATGCTGGCATCTCGATACCAACTGCATACCATATGGTATCTTCTTTGTTTTTAATTCGTTTTTGAAAACGTTTGCACAGAAGGGACGAGTTCATCATGATCTACTGGATCTACAAATTTCTGGGTGAACAAATTACAGGACCAAAAATACCACACAATACCATACAATACCACCCTGGTACGGGGTGGTATTGTATGGTATCTTCTTCGTTTTTAATTCGTTTTTGAAAATGTTTGCACAGAAGGGACGAGTTCATCATGATCTATTGGATCTACAAATTTCTGGGTGAACAAATTACAGGACCAAAAAACACCACACAATACCATACAATACCACCCTGGTACGGGGTGGTATTGTGTGGTATACAATGTTAAAAATCGTAAATTACAATTAATATACTTATACTATCATGTATTCAACCATCCTACAGTATTGTTTTGTTCATATCACCATGGTACGTTTTTCAAAACATAGGTATGCTTTTATTTCAATACCAGTCAATACCATATGGTATAGGCTGGAAAAAAATGGTTCAATTTTTTTTGTTTGAAAATATACTAAAGTGGATATCATTTTGAAGAGCACAATTAATATGATCTAACTGTGGAAAAAAAATTAAATTCCGACTTAAAATGAGCGAGAAATCGTCCGTCAAAAATTAAAGAGGGAAAATTAAAGGCTTTCCATGAGAGAGAGGATGTTGATGTCATGCTGATGTGGACGGGTTACTCATGGTTACTCACCATAAGGTTACTGACCTGATCCATTCCCGTCGCCAGAGTCTGGGTTAAAGTGGAAGAAGGAAAGTTGTTGTCCTGGCATAGGTTTTGATGTTTTATTAGATGGTTTATAGATAAAAATTGGTTATATCAAAGTTAGGAGTTAGTAAGAGGCGATAAAGTCATTTTACCGTCCATTAATTGGTCATTTAACAGGAAATTGGAGGGAAGTGGAAATGATGAGCCCCAAAAGGCTTCGATTCAGAATTACGCCGCTATGGAACCTCGATGAATGAATTTGGTGTGCTTTTTATGGTAAACAGGGTAGGTAATCTTGGGGATGAATCGATCCAAGCAAGCAACTTCAACACATTGGGGAAGAGGCTGGTTTGGGTAGAAACACAACGAGATCAATGGGATGGGGGTTGATCTCTAAGTCTGCAAGCCTAGGACAGTAATCCAAGATCAATCTTAAGCCAGCTCGCTCAAGGAACTCCACAGAGTAGGGTTAATTTTTATTCGATCAAAAACTGCCTTACAAAACAACGAGAAAGGCTATTTATAGCCAAGAACAACCTACATAATTCTAATAGAACAATGAAACCAATTACGAGTAATACAAGGAATAATTTCGATTAAAACACAGAAACTTGCTCCCTAAGCAACTATCTTCTTGTCCAAATAAGCTGTCTAGGAGACAGCCCTTCATACCATCTTCACGCTTCCTGATCTTGGTCTTCTGGAGGGAGTCGAGGTCAGCCAATTCCTTCTCTAGGCTTAGAAAGTTTCCTATCTCATGTCCAACTCGAAGCACCACTGGGTTGCTTTCCAAACTCCATGAATCATGCTCCAAAGTTGGTACTATCAACACTGTTTTTACCTTAGCCAAATTATGGCAAACTTCGGTTTGCAGGATAGGGTTTTGATTGCGTCTCAAAACGTCCTTCCAGACTTCTCCTTAACAACCCAAGAGTACCAACATGTAGAAGAACATCTCCTCTTTCAAACAAGACCAAAACGTCCTTCCAGGCTTCTCCTTAACAACCCAAGAGTACCAACATGTAGAAGAACATCTCCTCTTTCAAACAAGACCTTAACCTCGCATTTCCAATGAGCCAAGTGAGAGAACCCTCCCTCCAAAGTAAGGTCTCCAACACTGTTTCCATACTTAGCATTTTTCCAGCTTGGCTCCCATCAACTTGATCCCACTTTTGATTGATAAATTGGAACTTGTAGGACTTTGGATTTGTGATCATATCAGTACAATCATTACGTTTTAATATTAGAGGGACATGTTCGTGCAAAAAAATTAGTAGAGAGGTATGTTTGTTAATCGACAATAACAGAAGGGTACGAAATGCTATTAACCCTTCAAAAAAAGTAGCTAGATTGAAGACCAACAAAATTAATCTGGAAAGAAAAAGATAAATTAAAATAACTTCCATAGGTTATTGAACTTGTGTCCATTAGGTCATTAGCTAAGTAACTTGGACGGTGGACTAGATATGTATGTTGCATAAATTTTCAGGTTCTAATTACTCATAACTTTCCATTATGTATACTTTCCATTATGTATACGTAATTTTCAAAATTTCCGATACTTTTACTTGCTAAGAAATTAAATGCAATACATTAGTAATATGAGCTCATACATTTAACTTTTTTTTTTTTTGGCAAGGAGCTCATACATGTGACTGAATATTTTTTTTATGGGAAATTTTGACTCAACATTGAATCTGGTTTATTCTAATGAATATATTAATCAATTCTTATCATCACTATTTTAGTAGTAATATAGACCTATATGGTAAGCCAGCAAAATCGAACAATTACATTTTTAGTCTCAAAATCGACATTATTCCATAAACGCGCCCCTAGATTCATAAGTTCAATTCATTTTTGAATCTTGCAAGTTAGTGGTTCATGTCATTGAGTTGGGAATTGGGATTGATTACATCTTAAATCCTCTCTCGTTGTCTTAAAATAGAAACATCCTAAACCATAAAGGAACCTAACCTCATACACACAATAATCACGTAATTAGTACTCCTTAATTTTCCCCCGATTAAAGGGTGCAATTAACTAGTAGTACATTAACGTCATTCAGTTCTCGTACTGTTTTCGTTTTCACTTTTTCAGTGTTTCGGGGGATTCATTGAACTGTTTGATTAAATTTATCATGCCACATGTCAAAAAATATATATATATATCAAATATTGCGGGGGGACCGGTTACGGTGATTACTATTTTATAGTAATCACCGTGGTTACTAAGGGCAAACTGGGTATAACAAATAATTTATTAATGATCTTTTTTAATAAATTACATTTTATAAAATTACATAAATATATTAAATACATTTTTTCTCTCTCTTTCTCTCACTTCCACAATTTTTGAGCCAGATCTCTCTTCCTTCGTTTTCTCAATCTTTCCTTGATTTCGTTCAGCCAAATTAGTACCGCTGCAACAACAAAACAATACCAATCCATTAAAAATATACTACCATTGTACAAAACATCAATACCATTAGAGAAATAAAAACACTACCATTTCACAAAACACAAATACCATTGCAGATTTAATCACTACCAATGTGACAAAATCAATACCAATGCGACAAAATCAATACCAATGCGACAAAAACAATACCAATAAGACAAAAACACTACCACTATGGGGAAAAATCACTACCATTTTAAAAAAAATACCAATCCTTAAATATGTTGGAGGTCTGCACGGCAGCCCTAGGCGCGCACGGGACAACGGGTCCAGTCGGGTCGATGGCGATGATGGAACACGCGGTGGAGGTTGCGCGCGACGTCGGGTGAGCGAAGAAAAGGCGGCCATCGCCATCGTCTGTCAGAAAAGGCGGCCCTCATCATAGTCCTCGAATTCATCGGCGATCCGTCCATCGCAGTGCTTGGAGTCGATCAATTCAATTGATGACTCTTCCCTTTTCTCTACCCTGCTCTTGCTTTAAGTCGCCAATTTAACTTGGCGGTGAGAAGGTCCACTCGCCGCCTCTCTCTTAACAAACGAAATGGAAGAAAAAAAGGTAGAAGAGAAGATTGACTCGGCAGACGAGGGTGAGCGCGGCGGTGCTGGTGGCTCGCCCGTGGCCGGAGAAAGAGGTGAGAGTGGCGGTGAGGGAGGGAGAAAGTGAGAGAGAACGTAGAAAATTATTTAGGATTTTGGGTGATTATATAGAAATTCATATTTTAAAAGTAGTAATTAGGTGTGGTTATTATTTTTGTTCCAAAATTATCCCTAATTAATCCTGATGGTCAATTAAAAAATGGTGAGAATAAAGGGTGGAGATATAGGTAGCCACCGTGGCTACTAAAAAATTACTAACCATGCTAACGCATTCCATATTGCGGGGGCCAGGGAATGTATATATGAATTTTTAATTAAAGTGCCGGAAAAATAAAAAATAAAAATTGAGAAACAGCGTAAAAGGGGACAGAAAGAAAGATTCAAATCAGAAATCAAAAACCAAAAACCCTCATTAATAAAAGTCAGGGCAGAGACCACTGTCGTCCCAAATCTTTAATTTTTCCTGCTTCCTTAGAATCACCTCTCCAGCGCAGTGGGGTGGGGGGAGGAAAACTCGAAGAAGCGGAGAAGCCCAAGAAACTGTGAGAAGAATATAGAAGAGAAAACGAAAAGAATAGAGTCAGGGAAAGGAAAATTTTCAGTCCCTTTTCCCGGAAAATTCTTTCTTTCTTTCTTTTGATTGAAACTTTAATTTCTCTCCGTTTAATCGTCGCGATTATTGGAGGGAGGAAGAAGAGTGGTGTCTGTCGTGGGTGTCCTGGTACTGAAAAGGAAACTAGGAAGAATCTAGCGCCCAGCGAGCGAGCGATCGATCACGAGCTTTGTGAGTTGCTCCTTTTCCCCTGGCGGAGTAAACGTCGAGGGATTTCCCTCACTTTGTCTTCGTTCGGTAACCGCGGGCGGCGAGAAGCGGGGCGATTTGTTCTTTCCCTATTGCGTTTTTCCCGATTGCCCGACTTTCGGGTATCTCTTTCGGCTCAGGTTTATTTCCTTCTCTGGCTTGCTTTTTGATTGGTTCGTCATTCTGATAATTTCGGTATCTGGGGAACTGGGGAGGTTTTGGGTAATGATTTCCCCCCTTTTTGCAGTTTAGTTTAACTTAAGGGGTTCGAGCTCTGGGTTTCTACTGAATATAAAGTCGGAATTTTTAATGTTCACCTGCCAACTGCCAGCAATTCTAGCTTCCCATCTATAATTAATTTCTTTGTCCTTGTGTGAGCAGTTGTTCAACTATGCCTCTGCTGATACTGAGTTAGCTGAACTCCTGACTTATTTTAATCTGTGGTATGCGTTTGATAACTTCCGCATATATATCATGCAACGTAAGGGAGCCTACTTGTGTTATGTCGTGTCTTTTTTGCAAAAGGGGGTTGCTGAGTTATGAGGTAATGAATTGGGAAGTGTGGAAGAGGAGTTGGTTTTAGTCATTCATTTACTTCGTCAAACATGGCTCATGGTTTGCTTGTTACTTGTGTGCGTGATGAGGGCTAATGGGGGAAGGTGCACATGTCTGTTTGTGTTGTGTGTTTAGATCAACTGGGATCCACATTAACTTGTTGATGAATACCTATTAACACATTCTGAGAAGACATGTAGATGAAACTCGCCCCTCTCTAGCTTTTGGAGTATTTTATAAGTTTGAGTTTCTGGTGGCAGTTTTCACAAATTTAATGAGTGCAAGGTCTTCAACTGTGATTTTCCATTTACAAATCTTTTGAATGTCGACTGAAATTTATGATTCGTTGTTCATGCATATACTCAGGCTGACCAGTTATCTGTCTGGTTTCTGGGTTTTGGCAGATTGGGGACCTTCAAGTAACTTATAGCTTCTTGGCTTGCTACTCTGTCACAAACATTTATTGTGAATATAGAAGCAAAATACTGTGTATATAATGGGAATCTTCAGCAGGAGGTACAGATCGTTTCTTAGTGTTCTTCAAAGATAAATCTTACATTATTATTTGTGCTGCTTTGGCTGTTGTTTCCTTGTGAATGTATGAGTTTTTGTGAGCACAGTATTACTAAGACATTTGCAAATTTCTGTTTGCAGTGTTCTAAATAAAAAACCAAACGACAGCACGAGGCTTATTATAACGACATTCTTTGGAGTAGTTTTTGGATTTTTGATTGGAGTATCTTTCCCTTCATTATCTGTCTCAAAGGTATTATAGAATTCTATATGTTCTAATTGCTATCCCATGTGATTCCTTTCTTTCATCTCTTGTTATATGAGATAGATTGATGATGATGGTTTTAAGAACCTTCATTCCTTCTTATACTCTAGATGTTCATGTGATGTAACATTATGAGCTGTCTCACTTGCAGCTAAATTTTGCGTCTGGCCTTCTTCCTACAATTGACTTATCATACATGGGTGAGAAAAAGTTGGGAATTTCTAGGCATTCAGTTACTAATAGTTCAAGCAACAGTACCACTAGCAGCTCCGCGAAATTGAATGATACTTCAAAGGTAAGTTCTATGGGGCATCTTATTCCAAGAAACTGATGCTTTGTTCAAGTGCATACATTCAGGGCATCCCACCGTGATTGAGGATCCCTTGCTTTCATTCATGTCTTCATACTGTGTGGATTGCAATAAGTAACATTAGTATATTATCAATTTAAATCATGATCTCTCATTTTCAATTGTCTTTATTATACTATACATATGGATACTAGCAAAAAAATATTTTTCACATAGCTTCCACCATTTAGAATGTGTTACTTATCATCTATAAGGCATTTGAGGGTTTCCCTGAATGGAACTGTCAGCAATTGGTACAGAATAAGTGCATGGTGGTTTATCTCAATGTTCAGATCTCTCGTCACCTCGTTTCATTTATCTTGCACAGATCTGGATCCCTTCAAACCCTCGAGGTGCAGAGAGGTTGCCACCTGGAATCATTGTAGCTGAATCTGACTTAAACTTGAGAAGACTGTGGGGCAAACCCAGCGAGGTTTGTATTTTATTATGCCCTACCAGTAACATTTGTATGTCTGAACAGAAACTTGTATTAGAAATGTTTTCCCATTCAAGTAGCTGCCTTGGTTATGCTTCCTCAATTTTTTTCCCGGTAATTTATGCTTCCTCAATTTGCTATTCAAATAATCCATGATATTAAGTTTTGATTTGTTATGCTTCGATCTACAGGATTTAACCAATATACCTAAGTACCTTGTGACCTTCACAGTTGGTTACAATCAGAGACACAATATTGATGCATGTGTCAAGAAGGTCAGTAGTCCCTAGATTTAGTTATGTGTTGGGCCATATGAAAAAAGCAAAGCTTATACATTCATTTGCATAACTTTCAAGTTGCATCCTGCAGTTCTCAGGGAACTTTACAATCCTGTTGTTTCACTATGATGGTAGAGTCTCCGAGTGGGACCAGTTTGGGTGGTCGAGGCAGGCTATTCACGTGAGTGCTCGAAAGCAGACAAAGTGGTTAGTAAGACATCATATACTTGATTATTGAATCGCGTTTAACTTCTGTTTCTCAAATAAATGTTGGTGTTTTTAAACTTTCTTTTTCCCAATTTCTGCACAGGTGGTATGCAAAGCGGTTTTTGCATCCAGATATTGTGGCTTCATATGACTACATTTTCATATGGGATGAGGATTTGGGAGTTGAACATTTCAACGCAGAAGAGTATGTCTAGATTTATTACTCTTTTGATGACTGCATCTGATTTTTTTTAATCTTCATGAGTTGCTAAGTACTTCTCTCTCAACCAGATACATAAAGCTAGTTAAGAAACATGGGTTGGAGCTCTCGCAGCCTGGATTGGAGCCTAATAATGGTCTGACCTGGCAGATGACAAAGAGGAGAGGTGATCAAGAAGTTCACAAGTAAAGACACCATTGAAACTGTGTAAACTATTTTTGCAAAACTAGGATCTTGTGTAATGAGCTAATATTACCTCCCTTTATTCATGTGTGAATCATTTACTAGGACGACGACTGAGAAACCTGGATGGTGCACAGACCCTCATGTGCCACCCTGTGCAGCGTAATGGACTTCTTACCTTACAAGTGTTTTTGCTATGTCTTGTTAAATCTATTTCTAAGTTTTGAAGGGAGATTTCTTATGGATGCAGTTTCGTTGAGATCATGGCTCCAGTGTTCTCTCGAGATGCATGGCGTTGTGTGTGGTACATGATTCAGGTCCAGAAATTGTTTCTTTCTTTCGGACATTGCTTATTGTATTTGCTCGGTTTTACTGTCAACTCTGACACATACTATGATCTCACAGAATGACTTGGTCCACGGATGGGGTCTTGACTTTGCCATGAGGAAATGTATAGAGGTATATACACGTCTTCCATTGGTATATCTGACACTTGATTCTCCGCAGTCATGTAACCTACCTTCTACTTCTGAATGAACTCAGCCTGCCCATGAGAAAATTGGAGTTGTTGATTCTCAATGGATTGTTCATCAACGCGTCCCTTCACTTGGAAACCAGGTAGAACAAGAAACCCATTTCCACTATTTCATTTCCTCTCACCTTTTGTGCTCCTCTCTCTACCCTTCATCCCTCCCTCGAGCATTTGAACTTGAAGAACTAATAAGATCACTTTGTTGTGTATAATATCTTTCTCCCAGGGTGAGGTGAAAGACGGAAAGCCATCATGGAAAGGGGTATGTTTGATTGGTCACCTTTGCATAACCTTCCATTATTACAGTTGCAGATGGAAACCAGGTCTCACTTAAGTGTGATGTTTGATGTATCTCGAGCAGGTGAGTGAGAGATGCAGGAAGGAATGGACCATGTTTCAGAACCGAGTAGCAAGTGCAGAGAACGAGTACTTTAAGAAACTGGCAACCGTCGGATCGAATTCCACTGCACATTGATGATAGGATGAACATGGAGAAGAGGAGGAAGGGCAAGTTGGGATAGTATAGGAACACTCTTAGCATATGTACACTACCTTTCTTTTACAGCAGATTAGTAGGGGAGGCTACACACATATATATCTTAGAATCTATTTACTCTGTAAGTTGTAACCATCCTATTCTTATCTGAGAAATCATATTTCTATAGTTAAATCTCATGAACCACCCATCATCTTCTTCCCCACCTTGCCTTTCAAACCAGCACAGGAAACAAGCAGCAAGCAACATGTACATTTTTGACCAATGCAAGAATCATTCAAGTTTGATGTTCAGTGAGAGACGAAGTCGGCCAGAAACATGGGAAGTGGCCCCTTAGGCAACGCTCAAGAAGGACAGCTTTGACTGCCCCACCCAAACTCCTTAAGAAAGAAAGCAGCAGCCAGCAGCGCACGACACCTCATCTAAATTCAAGTACCTTCCTAAGTAAACTGATAGTAACCCTGACCTTGTTCTGTTCCTAATCCTCTTTCCACAAGGCAGCCCATTCCTTGGTTCACCAGCCTCTGAAGCAACACGTGTCCACCACTTGCCAACAATAGTAATAATATTGTATGATATAATATCACTTACCCCTTGCTCTTCTTTTCCTTGGTTCTTGAAACCAAAAGAAGAATGCAACTGTTAAAGAATCGATCATCGTTCATCAGTTGCACCTCTCTTCCCCTAAACCTTACACGTGTTGCCGCGTGTTCTCCTCCAACCCATGGTTAAAGCCACCATGGTTAAGGTATCTGGTGGTTTAGTGTAGACCGCATGTTTTTTCTTCCTCTTAAAATAAACAACCAAAAAGAGGCGAGGCAGTGGAGTTGTATATATTCGTAATTACTTACATGGCTCCTCTGTTTTTCCTCTGTTCCGCTCCTCCTCCAAAACCGACCTCAGAGAGGGAAAAGAAGGACCAACCCGTTGGATTCAATTGGTTTTGAAATCTGGGTTTTCCCCAAAACACCGGAAAGCATGGGGCTTTCGAATTTCCCAACCCCTTCGGAAGGGGTACTCCCCCTGCTAGTGGTCAACACGGTTCTCTCAGTTGCCCTGCTTAAGAACATGGTAAGCTCTCTGCTTCACTGGATTGTTACTTCTCCAATTAGATTTTACGAGAATCACGAAGACAATGGAATCGGAAGGATTAGAATCGGTAGTAGTAGAAGGAGGGGAAGAAGAATATCCATTACGCAGTTCAGGGCATTGAGTGGTGGTGGGGGTGAAGCTTCTTCGAACAGCTTCGACAATGGCGGAGGAGGAAGGAGTGCTTGGTTGGCTACGACAGTGGAGTGTTGTGTTTGCTTATGTGGGTTTGAAGCTGATGAGGAAGTGAGTGAGCTTTCTTGCAAGCATTTCTTCCACAAAGGTTGCCTGCAGAAATGGTTCGACAACCAGCACACTACTTGCCCACTCTGTCGATCCGTTGAGTAGATTTGGTGGAGGAGAGGGAATTTCTGGTCTAGATTTTAGCAGAAATAAGGGGAAGACACAAGTTCAACTTGTCAGGAATTTCTCCATAGCTATAGTTTGTAGCTTAAAGCTTTCGAGTCTTGAGCTTCTTTGTGTTGTTTTTTTCTCCCTTGAGGACTGTTGGTTGGGTTTTCTAGAAAGCAATGTGATTTTTGAGACCACAGTTTGTAAGACATGGCTAATGCTTCATGAAGGGATTGGATTGGAACCATTTTGTGATGAGGTCAAGTTGAAAAAAAATTCATGGTTGCAGCAGAATGGTAGTGATGTTTAGTATAAAACAAATCCCCAAAATCTCTTATTGGTTGGAAATGGGGCCAACAGCCAATTTTGGGAGGGAGGGTCAAAGTTCCATAATCTGTATATGTTCACGTTTCTTACATGTTTAGAATTTCTATATCCCCATTTCCTTGGATTTCCATTGGTGTACGTAAATCTGATTACTCTCCATTATAAAAGTTCTCGTTTGGTCAACGGTTACAGATCGTTCGTATGTAATCCGATAACATCTACCATGTTTGTGTACAAGAACAAGACAATACTACTATGGATCAGAATCAGTCGATAGTTTCTGAAGAGTTATTCCCAAACGAAAACAAGAGTTGCAAACTTTAAATCTAAAGATTCAAGCAGAAGATAAATACAAAACATAAGAACATTATTTCACTTGTAGTTTCATCAGTATTATTATCTATAGCTAGCGATCTCATGTGGAGTGTTTCTTGTTAGCCAAAGCTCATGGAGGACATGGTCTTGCTCCACTCAAACTTCTTGTGCTCCATCTTTATGAACTCTTCAGCTACACTGTCGACATTTTCACTGCAAATGTTTTCATCAGCAACTGTAACACACACCTTGGGCGACGGCAACGATGAAGCTCTCTCGTATCGCGGCATAACTTCCTCCCTTTTCGGAGGATAGTAGCAGTATCCACAGTCATCGGATGATGATGCTTCCCTGCTGTAGTACTGCTGGTTATAGCTATTTCTGGATGACATTTTTGGTGGTGATGATGAAAACTGAAATGGGGAAAAGAGAAGTGTGTTGGGTTGTTTGCATCTCTATTTTTTGGAGGTTATATAGGGTCCTTATCATGTGATGTTGTCAAGTGATAAGGTGGAATCAAATTCTTTATGTTCTTTAACTTTGTTGAAAGATCAAACATAGTAATCCACATGGTATGCAAGAAGAGAATCTTGAGAAGGTGGAGGGAAGGGAATTCAAAACCTATTGCCTTTTTGAAAAATATCCAAGTGGAGAGGGTATATTAGTGTTGCTGTTTAGGAATGACAGAAGATCCTTCTATCTATGGCAGCAATTTTATTCTCCTTTGTCGAATATCCAACTATCAGTAGTTAGGATCATTCGCAAGTGTCGATATCTCACACTTGATGGATTGAATGGTCGACGTCTAAACGATTTGTTCTGTAACATAAAATGAGAAAAAATCGTTGATAACAATTTTTATTGTTTGTGCAAGTTTATCGCTTGTATATCTTTGTTATTCTTTTTTTATTTCAATATTATTATTAATCTTGCCAAAAAAAACAATAATGAGAAGGTGGAAGAAGGAACATTTTAAATGTGTCATTTCACCTACTTTCCGTCTTAATCTGGTGAAGGTTGATGAAAAAGTTTTGGCATTGGGAATCAAATTGCTTTTATGAATTATACAAGTAATTAATCATGTTAGGCTCACTACAACTATTACTTCTAGCTTTTCTTTCTTTCGTGAGTTATTTACTTTCTTTAGAGACTCTCATTGTTATCTTGTCAAGTACTTGAAGTTGGCTTCCATCTAGAAAATGTGGCTAAATCAGAACTTTGACATTATACAAGTAATTAATCATGTTAGGCTCACTACAACTATTACTTCTAGCTTTTCTTTCTTTCGTGAGCTGAATAAATAAACCACATGTACAATGTGATTCGTCAAAGTTCTGATTTAGCCACATTTTCTAGATGGAAGCCAACTTCAAGTACTTGACAAGATAACAATGAGAGTCTCTAAAGAAAGTAAATAACTCATAACAATCTCATGCATCAAGCGACTGTCCACTTCAGGAGATGACAAAAAGATCAAAATGCTTTTCATAATCACACACATTACTTGACACATACAAGATCATATCTAGGGGTGGGTAAAGGGGAATCGATTACCGATACCGGTTTGTAACCGGTTTACCGGTTATCGAATTACCGGTAAATGGTTACAAACCGGTTTTACCGACTTACCGTAAGGAGTACTTGCGGATGGTTTTTCGGTTCAGTTTACTGGAAAATTACCGAACCGAATTTCTGGGCAATGGGGTGATGTTGTCATATTTTAATTTTTCTGATTTTTTTCATCATTTTTTAATTAATAATTTATTATTAAATCTTATTTATAATATTTTTGGGAAAAAATCCAAAACTACCACTATTTTTAAAAAATTACAAAAATACCACATATTCCGAAGAAATTCCAAATCTACCACCTTCCCCCATAAACCGCGCCTCGAAGGCGCCGTTTGCCATTGGGCAGCTGACAAAACGCGCCTCCACGTGGTGGTCCATGCAACCGCACGATGGGCAGGCAATCTGACAGCTAACCGACTGCCAGCAGAGCGATCCGCGTCGCCCACTGATAACCGTTGCCCTGAAGCGCGGTTTGCGCGTTGGGAAACGTAAACCTTGTGTTGGAGGGCGCGGTTTGTGGTGGGGTAAAAATACTAAACCGCCCCTCCAGCACACGGTTCCTTCCCTATATAAACTCACCCCTTCCTCTCATTTTCTTCACATCAAACCCCCAATCTCCTCTCTCTCTAAGTTTCTCACTCTACCCATCCCCCTCCCCACCCAAAAACCTTGGAAGTAGTTGTTTTGTTGGTTGCGGCTAAGTCTGATCTGCTAAGTATTTATTAACATGATAATTGTTTTCATGTAATGTTATGTTATTTGGTTAATCCGATTATCCGCTTGACCAAACCAATTAAATTTTGGTTTGGTTAATTTGGTTTTCGTGTTAATTTGGACGGTTTGGTTAAAATATTTTATTTCATGGTTAATGAAATTTAGACTTAATTGGTTTGGTTATTACCACGGTAACCATTTAAAGAGTAGATTTGGTTATTATCACGGTAACCATTTGAAGGGTACAAGCCGCAGACTTCATCCATTCAAACGACTACAAAAAGGAAGGCAGAAATATAGAAGACTACTTTTACAATTCCTTGATTAGGATTTAGTCCCGACCATGAGAGCTCTGGAAAAAGGGCAGATAAGGAGAAAACTAGTTCTAAACATTGGAAGACTCGATTGGAGCTAGAAGGATATAATATCGAAGAGATTTGACATGATTGGTTCTTCTCTTTTTATATTTGTGTTCTTTCTCGTATTGACTTGGAATTAGAATTTTAGAGTCTTGATTATTTATGTTTACTTAGAACTCTAGGTATATGAATTATTTCAACTAATTTCTTCTTCATTTTTAACTTATTTTGAGGTGCCCACCTTAGGATTATATTTTTTTGATACGAAATTGATTAGAAATTACTTTTTATCTTTAAGTATCACCAAACACAATAATCGAAAAATTACTCGTGATAAATCTATAGCCCTAAAAAAAATTGGATTTTTTTTTTGTTAAGGATGATATAAATTAAAAAGGAAAGTTGTAACAACCCAGAAAGTACACATACATGGAGGTGGAGAACCCAAATGCGAGATTCCCAAAAAAAAGAAAAAGAAAAGGAAAGGAGTGAACCCCTGCACAAACATCCCACGATGAAACTGGGTGGAGATGAACTGAAACAGGTCTTGAAGAAGCAAATTGAAGGGATATTGGATTTTTATATGAATGAAAACGAAGGTAAGGGAGCTAAATCAGCTCACTTATATCTATTGGTGAAATATGGAAGTGTGAAGGGATATTTAAATAGAGAAGTTCATTGAGACTAATAAAAATAGGAAAAAAATAGATGAGACTAGAACCATAAGTCATAATCAGTGCTCGCGCATCTCAGGCAATTTGTGGGTTAAGATTAAAAAATGATGAGGAAAATTTGGCTCATTCACTCATTTGCAAATAATTTGGGATGGAATTTGCAAATGAGTCATGAATTTGTCCATTAGAGTCAAGTGACTCATTTTCTTTTTCGTTGATAAACATGCAATTTATAACCACATTACTCAATAAACTTGCAATTTAGAACCAAATTACTCAATTCACCATATTACACCAAATCACTCGTCCAACAGTCTCAAGTGACCACCTGCGTTCCAACCCAAGAGTACTCTGTTTTCTCCTCTGTCTGTTTCTCCGTTCATGGCATATATCTCTTCTCTATGTAAATTATAGCTTGGACCCATATTGGAGGTATGGCTCCTTTTGTGCCCTTTGCGTCTTTGCCAATGATTAAATTTAAATCTCTACCTTAGTTTGATCCAGTGATCACCCAAGAAACGACAGAACCAGGAAAAGGTGGAAATTAAACTAAATCATACACAAGAACAAGGTCTAATTATGTCAATCCTTTCCCTTGACGATCATCACAGACACAACTCACGCTCTTTCAAGAAAATCAACAGCAATGGGCAGATTTCAGTAGCCACTAAAATTCAACCATTCAATCAAAGCAAACCCAAATAAGAAAAGGTTCTAAGAACATGAACAGCCAACGAGGATTTGAATTAATTATGACATAGTAGATTTACAACCTTCACTTCCTTCAGAAACCCTAGAATCTAACAATCGGAATTCTGAAATTCCAGCAAATACAGACCCAAAACGACAAGCGAAACAACATCAGAGAAAGCCCTAAACTGCCAAAACGCAAAGCCACCCATCAGAACAAACTAGCTCGATCTAAGCCCTCTCGCCTCTAATCCTCCTCGCGAGCTGGATATCCTTGGGCATGATGGTGACCCTCTTGGCGTGGATCGCGCAGAGGTTAGTGTCCTCGAAAAGCCCGACCAAGTAAGCCTCGGCGGCCTCCTGGAGCGCCGAAACGGCGCTGCTCTGGAACCTCAGATCCGTCTTGAAATCCTGCGCAATTTCCCTCACCAGCCTCTGGAACGGGAGCTTCCGGATCAGCAGCTCGGTGCTCTTCTGGTACTTGCGGATCTCCCTCAGCGCCACGGTTCCTGGCCTGAATCGGTGAGGCTTCTTCACTCCTCCGGTTGCCGGAGCCGACTTGCGTGCGGCCTTGGTCGCCAGCTGCTTCCTCGGCGCCTTGCCGCCGGTCGACTTCCTGGCCGTCTGCTTCGTGCGGGCCATTCTTCGAGGGGATCGGAGAGAATATTAAGATCTGGATTTTGGGGGAAGAGTGTTGGAGAGGAAGTAGCTAGGTTACTGAAAATGTTTGCGGTGGAGGGGAGGAAATGGCGGATTGTGCATATATAGGGAGGCGGGTTTTCGTTTCAGGGGAGGAGGGAAAGATTTGAAAGTTTTGGTGTGCACCGCCAAAAGTTGTGGGATGATTCCTAACCGTTGATTGGGGAGACGATTGGACGGTACGAGATGGCAATCCGCGTGGTGTCTTGTAATTTTCAAGTTTCAACCAATGGGAGTGTTGCCTTTTCCCAGTCCAGTAGCTTTATCTTGACCGTCGGTTGATGGGTGGATGAGTGGTTGAGATTATTTTTAAATAGAGCGACACGGATCGCAATATGTGGGCCTTTGGACCAGACGGAATGAGCTGTGGGGGGCTTTGGTCCATTGCATGTTATGTAATCCTAGTTATGTTCTCTATTGGACAGGGACTAATGGGTTCGGCCCAAGGTTGTCAACCCGCGGGTTGACCCGCGGGTCGACCCAATTTGACCCTGACCCGGTGAGAAAAACGGGCCACACGCACCCGCCGGGCCGACCGCTACAAGGTACCGGGTTGGAGGTCAAATTGTGTCATTTTTTTCTTTGGTTTGCGAAATGCGCCTATTTTCCAATTTTTCTTTTCGCCTAACTCAATCTTTGGAATCCTAAGTTGAACATTTGAATATTTATGTTATATAAGTGTATGTGAATTTTCACTATATGTTGGATCTAAGTACGAAATGTTATTTTGGTGTAATATTATATGTTATAACTCATATGTTAGATAAGATTTGATATAATTTATGGGGATAAATACAATATAATGACTATTTCCATATTTTCGGGCCAAAACGGGCTAAAACGGTTGACCCATTAACCCTTAACCCACTAGCTCGACCGGGTCCGGGTCAACCCGCGAGTTGACAACCTTGGTTCGGCCTTTATTTTTCCCCGAGTCCCCGAGTCCGAATCCCCCTTGCTTAGGCCACAGAGGTCAGTATTTGATGGTTCAATCAAAAACATTTTATGAGAGTTTATGTTTGGTATAAAATTATTAAATTATGAATGAATTACGATTTCAAAGTAAAATATCATACCACTAATATTTCCTGTACAACCTTTAGTATGATAACCTTGATGATAACTAATAAGTATTACAAATCTTGAAGGACAATCTAATAGTCAAGGCAACTACTCTAGCTGGTTTTAAAAGCTATTATCGGTCAACCAGAAAAGTAAAACCAAACAGTCACCCCTCTTGATTGTTTCCACTTACACGGTTACACCACCTTACGGCATGATTCACCTGCTTTCTAAGCTCTTCCTTTCATGATTGTATAGCAATGCTGAAAGAATAAATCTAACCTTTTACCAGGGTTTCTAAGTGCTCATGGGTCATGGCATCTACCTTAAACACCCGCCCTTAATCACGCAAGCAATTTGGGTTTGGGCCAGAAGAATCACATTACAGTTGAAACTCTTCATCTTTGATTGCATTGCTTTTCATCTAGTTGCTTGTGCTGCTACTCTTATGAAATCATGCTAAAACAAGGGAATCAAGCTCCTAAGCAACCTCGTATTCACTAAATAGTAACCTTTATTGCTTATGGATAGACAGCAGCAATACACATATTCAGAGGCCAGCAAAGTAGACCAGCTACTAAGCCACAGCAGAACAGCCATCAAACAAGACACACAAACCAAACACAAACAGGCACACTTATATTATCAGTGAAGAAGAAAGCCAAGGTCCCAACACACTTCCTAGCTTCCTTGAGACGGACGTTACTTATTATATCGCCTTGTACATCCAGTCAGCGTTGCTGCAGCCATTGTGCCCGCCATGGCCACCACCAAAGCTGGCGTCGAAGCCACTAAATCGATTGTATCCCGCCATTGCTTCTTCCTCGTGTACAAAGGTGTGAGCAGCAGGATACTGCACTTTCTGATATGCAGCAGCACTACCATATCTGCCATTATTCATCATCCCACCACCAGATTCCAAGCCATGGTGAGAGGGCTTCATGCCATGGCCCTGATTGAACCGGTGAGCATCATCATGACCATTATTCCAGCCACCGTTCTGGTGGTTCAAGCTGTTACTACTGTGATTGAACTTGTTACTTCCGTTGTTCCATCCTGCAGCATCATGGCCTGCCATGGTTGGGCATTTGGAAGGCTGAAAGAGCTTCATACCACCAGAAGAGGCATTGCTGCTGTGGAACTCTTCCTCGCGAGCTGAGTAGCTCTCTTCAAAGAAACCAGCACGCCTCATCTAAGTGGGGAAGGGGTCACTGAAAAGTGTGATGTATGATATGATTATTTGGCTATGTTGAGAGAGATGTGAGTATTGGTGAATGAGAGGGAGCCTTTTATAGGCATAAATTTGTTGCTAAGTTGTGATGGTAAGAATGCATCTCATTCCCAGACAGTTCAATGTGGAAGAAGAACACTTTTGAATCCCATTCCTTGGCATTATGGCCGAAATGTTCTTTCACTTTTTACTGCTACCCTTCATTTTTCTTCAGTTAGTGGTGTAAAAAAAAAAAAAAAGTGGGGGATGTAGTGGAATGGTGTGTTGCTCATTGGTGCAAGAACTCGTTTGTGTCCAGAATTTGCAAATTGGGTTGGTGCGTCACGCTCAGTCTTGTTTGGCGTGAAAGATGTAGTAGGATGTATGGGAATAGATCAGTTAGAGCTCCTGAAAATTTGTGTCGTGAAGTTAAACTAGTTGTTAGATGCAGAGTGGCTACTGACTTGGATCTCCCAGCAAGGTCTGTCTGACTTATGTTTTTTTTTTTTTTATGGTTAATCAAAATTGCATTAAGCTCTAGGATCCTTGTAACTAAGGATCCCTCTCAAAGATACAAAGTAACTGATTACAAAACCATCAAACTACTAGAACTGCTAAGAAACAAAAAGGTCTATACTATTGGAAGCTAGGTAGAACATTCTGTGTATCTATTCGACTACTAATAAAAAACCCAGCTTCAGATCGAATCCGGGACACCAACTGAGGAGGGTGCTGCAAACCTGTGCCATAACACCTTCTACATCGCTCTCTCCATACATAGCTCATCACCATACTCCATATTAGTTTACCAAGTTTACTCTTTATAGAAGAACCATCCCAGAACCTTACCGCCCATAAGTCTGACTTATGTTTAGGTTGGTAGTATGTTTATAAATGCTGGTTTTCCTTTAGTTTCTGTAAGTTTGGCTGCAGATGTTTCAAATGCTGCCATGCCTTGGATAGAGTTGAACAAGAAGTATTCATAACTTGAGACCCATGTGCTCTGAGATTGCATAAAAAAATCACGTATTTATAGTTTTTCTTATGAAGCTTTAACAAACACATCTCTCTTTACTGTCATTTATCCATTTGTATTCTGTCACTTATAATTCTTTTCCAAATTAGATACAGCTAGCCTCAAATGAAAGAGTTCAGAGTTCTGTTTGTTAGAAATTTTGTTGGAGAACAAAGAAAATAACATATAATTGATTGCATGTAATAAAAAATAAATTGAATACAGGCATAGATGACTATGACGATGGGACGAGGGCACCTAAATGCATCTCCAACTCATCTCGCAACTTCTTTTGCAGGTGTTTACCATTACCCGAACAAGAAGAAAATTCTTCACATTGACTAAAAAAAAAAAAAAACCCAAAAGTTTTGGGGTAGCCTTGTCATCCCTCTCACATTTCATTCACAAGCATAAGCAACTAATTAATAGTGGCTGCAATTTTCACAAATTGTTGGATTCTCTTGCACCACATCATCATCTCGAGGAATCCTTGGGACGAAAGTTGTTGATCCCATTTCTATCGCAGCATCTGCTCTTTTCCACCAATTGTGTTGCCGTGATAAGGGATGGAACAAGTCAGTATCACCATTTTCAAACTATTCACTATCTACCACTTGGTTGTCCAAATGACCTTATACCTCAGAATCCAACTCTCTCTCTCTCTCTATCCTTATATTTTCCAACAAGCCTTTAATCTTCTGATTGATTGTACAGAAAGACCCACCTAGTTTTTGAAGAAAACAAAGCCTCCACTCAAATATCATTCCCCGATGTGTTGTTTTTTCAAGCCTAAACTATATGGACACCAGCCCACTAGAAGCTAGTCAATGGCTGCTGCAAACAACGACCCTTCAGTTACAGCAATCATTAATGCAGGCTTGAGAAGAGGAATTAGTCTTACCATCCTGTGCCAGCTTCATTGACAGAGAAGCAAAACTCCTCCCGAGTCCTAATGCTATTTACAAGCTCAATTGGATACGACCGACCCTCGAGAATAATTGGCCCCCACAGTCAAGCATTCTGGGATACAAGAAGTAAACGTTTCAAGTGGAGGAGAGAGAAAACAAACAGGCAAATACAAACATTACTTGCAAGAGGGAAATGTCTGGTCTCCTCTGGAAACAAAAGCATGTTGTCCCGGAATATTTATTATATTGGGGGCCGCTTGGAATCTTACAGACTGTCCGTCTTGCCCTAAAAACTCCATACAATTAGGCAGAAGCAAAAAGTTGCAAGCTTTCCTCCTGCAACAAGATGAACGTCTTGCAGAGGGGGAATCTTAGCAAGAAGCATGTCTTGCCACCACGTCCAGTTCATTGATGTTTGACCTTCTCAAAAAAGAAAAGGTGAAATTTCACAGCTGCTTGCTTGGCCAGCAAGTAATTAGAAGACCATGGAAGCATGTATGAAATTACAGATCTAAACAGAATTTCGGATATATTCATGAATCAAGGAGTTAATGACACATCATCAAATAAATGTCTCCAACACAAAATTTCCCCCTCCATGAAGGGACATCATCGAGCTTAAACCCTCACAATTAATTGTTTCCTCAGGAAAATCCTTGTTCATATCCGTTCTAAGAACTACAGAAGCACAAGGGTGTTGTAAACAACAACTAGCAGATTGTTCGTATCGCAGCAAGTTTCTTGTGCCATGGTCAAACTCCACTCACCACCTCCTGTCATCATCAAGCTCAGGCTCGAAAGAAAGGCTATATACATAATGATTGATCCTCCAAGAATCTGCCGCAAGCAATCCAAATACCTCAAGTTGGGGACATCTAGATTGCAGCATGGCTGTAATAGCGACAAATCCATCAGAGTCCTCAAACAATTTGAGTTGGATTCCTCGACATCCAACTCACCTTTACAACAACAAAATGTAGGGATAGTCATAGGTCATAACCCAGAATCACCCACTTTCTCTTATGCAATGACCGGGCAAGAGAAACTTATAGTCACCAGCATTCTCCAAAAGGTAAGAAGGAAGGTGAACTGCAGAATAAGAATGAGGGACAGGACCCATTTTCCCAATGATTTCCTTGAAGGTATACTCCTCGGGAAGCATATCGAATAAGTCTGCACCTTTGCATATCACCTTTTGGATTCTTTCAGGGTCCAAATAACGTTTGAACCTCACTCTATCAAAATGACTGTAAGCCTTCATCTTGAAGATGAACTCACTCACACGTCGGAAACAAAAACTGCAATGCCACCCTGCTTCAGCCAATATGTCATCTGACTGGCGATAGTGTGCATACCTGGTCTTCCCCATCTTATACCTGTGGACAGAAGCTCTCCAGCTGTTGTTATCCACAAGAAACTCGAATGAATATAGATAGTTTCTCAGCCGGAGGTGAAGGACTTGAGGTATGTCATCACACCATCTCAAGAGATTGATAGTATGCTTGCTGGGAATCTCATCAACATCCGACATTATCAACAAATCATCATCTGAGATGCCTGCAACTTTAATAAGTTGGTCCAATGCAACTCGCTGATATGCTTCCTCGATGAAGGGATTCTCTCCCTTCTTGAACCTGCCACCAATATTTCCATAGGTCAACCTTGGCTCGATAAATTTGAACTGGTCCCGATGGTTGGCGAAATAGAGCAGTTTCTCGGTCCCAGTGAATGTAGAATTAGACTCCAGAAGAATGAACTGAGTTATGTAGGGGTACAATTCCTTCCACCGAAGTGTTAAGATGTCCATCTCATTACTAAACAAAACTGCATCATAGACACGCCTTGGAAACTCCCGAATCTGCCAGCCATGGAGCTTGCACAGGTTCTCCATTGTCACATTCTCATTGTAGTAATGCGGAATTTCATTGAAGCCTTTTGGTGGTGATTCCCATAGTGGCCGCAAGAAGTACGAGATCTTCTGCCCATGTAAATAAATCCCATATACACAAGTAGGCACCAGAATGAAGAGGAACAACAACGTCTTCAAATCCACGCCGCGAAGAATGCACTTGATTCTTGACATGCTCATGACCCGACCAGAATCCTGCAAATTTCAAAGGAACAACCTCACGTTCAGAACCAGGATGAATTTCACATCAAGGCTGGCAAAGCATGTTTTCCCCACAAGGTTTTTTACAGCCACGATACCCAAAATGGGATCACATGTCAAAGTTCAAGAGTAAAAGACCGAATAGTTAGGCAAAGCAGCTCATAAAAATTGTCAGTGAATTCCATGAAAAGATGGGGAGATTCTGAAGAATAATGCTTTGAAGGGCAGTAGTTAGTTCCCTCTGTAAAGGTCTTAACAACGTGCCCCCCAATAAGCGAAAAGCATATATACTTAAAATACAGTTCCCTACAGACCCAGGGAGATTAATTAAAAGGAGCCTCTAACGGCCAAATGAACGACCTAGATTGTGAGCATCTCAAAATGAAGCCCCCTAGCAATCTGGAATCAACAAATGAAGGAAATTCACCACAAGAACAAATTTCAAAACCAGCAACTTTCACAATCTACAGAAAGGAACCTAATATCGAAGATCCAAATCCACATCAACTCCCTGTTTCATTGACCCGTACACACAATGCACGCGGAATCGAAGGGGAGAAAATAAAAGCATCAATCAAACAGATCGAACTGGATTGTGAAACAATGAACAACAAATCTCTTCTCTCCAAAAGAAGGAATTTGAAAGGATTAAACCATTTACCTGGCCGCAAACATCACCACACATATCATCTGTCTTCTTCGAGCAGTAATGGCCGCCATTCTCACCCATCATCCACCACATTTTTTCTCTCTTTCTCACCAAAAAACAAATAGAATCAGAACCCACAAACCAAATCAGAGTAAAGCAATCAGCTTTCCACTCCCAACACGACAACAAATAGAAGCGAGCAGCTCTATGGCTCCTCCTTCCCTCTCCTCGATCTACGCTGCTTTCACCCTCCACTGTCAAATTTACCCGTCCTCTCTCCAAACACAGGATTTCTAGCTAAGGCTTGCTGCCTATCCCCCCAAATTCCCCTCCGCTTCTCCCCACCTCGCTCCACAGCGAGCCGCACGGCGAAACGGTCGAGAGAGAAAAACTCAGATTGGAAAAGAGAAAGGGGAAAATCAAAAAAGCCCTTTTGATCCCTAGAGAATCCAATCCACAGGATGAAGAGAAAAAGGTAAGAGAGAAGAAAGAAAGCGGAAGGAAGCAAAGCCAGCTCTGTAAATTGGTGGCAGATGTCTCAATAATACGCTTCTCTTGAATAAATCTTCCGTCTCTCTCTTCGCTAGGGAAGATGGGAAAGAGCCGTTTCTTTCGTTTTTGTCAATTTATAACGGGCGGAAATTGCGATATTTGTTCTTCAATGTACGGAAATACCCATGCTTTATCCCCCCAGCGAAGGGTAGTTTCGGGAATGTAGAAGGAAAAGTGAACGCCGAATTTCGGGTCAGGCTGAGCTGGGTCAAATGGCCCGAACCGGAATTTTGTCCACCCCACCCCACGCGTCAATTGATTGACTCCCTCTTTTTCCCCTCTCCGTGTCGGGTCTTCTCCTCACCCTAGTTTCTTTCGCTAAGATGGTTTAAGCTTTAAGGAATGTTAATGCCTACATCATCACTTATTATAATTTAGTAGTCCAGTCAATCACATAGTACACAATTTTTCTTAATCCCAGACCCTTGAAAAAAAAATGTTACTTCCATAAAAAAACGAAAAAAAAAAACAATTGTTACTCACTATGTGGTGGAGAGTGGAGACAGTATAGACTCCATATTTCAATAATTACAATTGATTGAGTGGTTTTCTCATAAATTTCAAAATCATGAGTTGATTTGAATTTAAGAGAATTGTGTGAAACGGTGCAAAATTCAGAGTTGACCTCTGTCAACAAGTCAATTTATTATGATGAACTACTTCTCAACATTTTCTTTTACCTTTTAATTTGCAAACAAATTTGCAAACAAACTTTTGTTCAATTTATCCATCTGCAAGAGGAAAGAGTGATAGATATTTTGCTGCTCAATTTGGTAGGATTAATTAATCTCTACCTCGGTAAGTCTCAAATCATAGGCGTATTGTTAAAAACAAGAGATGGTAGATTTAACTTCGGAAAGGATTTTCCTATTATTTTCTTTTGAAGAAGTATGAATTCTCTACCTGTATAATTTGTGGGTCACCCATGACTTGCTTATTAGGGACAACATAGCAACTCATTCACATGGTTACTCAACCGAGCTCGAATCGATGTTATCGAGAAAAAATCTGATCAAAATTATGTTTAGGTGCATTTTTCTTTTCAACGATGAGTTTTTTTAGAGTTTAATATTTTAATTAAGGTAATGTCTATTTTTTATCTAAACTTTTTTCATATTTTTTTATATTATCCAAACCTATCGAAATACTAAGAATTAACCAAATGTTAACTTTCAGTTAGCAATTTTGTTAGTAATATTGATTTAGCAACATGATACTAACTTGGAAGAGATACATGAAGGTCAACATTCCAAAAATTCATTATTTTAATTAAAAAATGAGTTACAAAATTATTAACAATAACGTAAAAATGACTAATATTTTGATGCATTATGAAAAATTTGACTAATAAATGGAATTTTAATAGATTTGAATAATATAATTGAATCTAAAAAGAATTTGAATAAAAAATAAATATTATCCTTTTAATTAAGTGCAACAAGATCATCAGAGTATAAGCTACAAATCTGTCTAGGCTCTCTCAGTTCAAAATTTTGGTCATCCATTTCTCAAAAAATATATTTATTTATCTAGATCTCGACTTCTTCTCTTTTGTCCTTATTTGTCCAAACAATATCTTCAGAAAGTTCAATTAGCATTTAAATCTTAAACAAAGAATTTACACTGTGTGAAGAACTTAAGATAATTATCTGGAGGAGAGTTTTCCTCACACTTTGTTGGCAATCAGCGGTGCAAATTCGAGTGGGGTGCAAGGCGAGTGAAAAATTGTAGGAGTGTAAATTGATGAGCGGCGTAAGTGAAAGAGGAAATTGTTGTTTGGAATGAAAAAGTAGGGGTGCAAGTAGAGTGAAAAGTAAGTAAATTATATTATTACAAAATAGATTTATTATCACTATATAATAAATAAACTTTTATTTAATAATTATAAATAAATACTTTAATAAAAGTAATTATTAAATAGTAATGCTCAAATAGAAATTAATTATACCAATTGCAATAACCATTGATTGAGCAACCTCGAAGCTCGAAGCCCAAATCGTTACTGATCATCCTATAGGGTTCTCGTGGTTAGTTTAATTAACTTTAAATTAGATATGGTCAAACTTAGTCAAACACGTATATATCTGTAAGTTTTAACTAATTAGTCAAGTAGATTGAGTCAACCAAACTCTCTACATTTTCACAAACACTTGTTCTCTCCAATTTTCAATTCAAATTCGAGTAAACTAAGATATCTCGATTTGACTACACGAAACTTGACAAACTTGCTAGTTGCTACCGAAGTGAAACACTCACCCCTGAACAAAATCTAAACTAATTATTGTATAGCTAAAAATAATTAAAAAATCAAAATCCATAATCCCTCTCTCCTCTTTTCTTCCCTTGCAACCCAATTTGGGCTAAGTTATAATAGTAAATTTGCACCCACGATTTGCACCTCCTATTGTCGCAAATTAGCCAACACATGAGTAAACTTGTCTGAAATTGCGTTTACCCCTCATATTTGCACCTCCTTGCTTCCCCTCTGACCAAACGGAGTATCAAACAATAAATAGGTAAGTTTCTATAGATCATATTAGGTTCCCACTAACTCTTAGTTGAATGGATGATTAATTATCATCGTAACGAACTCTAAGAGGGATATCCTAATGATAATTGTTTTTTGGAAATTATGATTGTATAACTAAAAATACATAAATAATATAGTATATGAAGTATTTATTTCTTTTTTTACTCACCTAAATGTACGACTGGAGCTATTATGGTAATTACGGGGTTGCTTGGATGGATCATTTATTGAGGTGTGGTATTTGTGCACAAACAACTCATTTTTCATCATGTGGTATTTTAGGGGGTCGTGTTCGTGTAATGAGTTATTTTTAAGTTGAAATAACTCATTAAAAGACTTTGTGGAATTTGTGTGGCTAGACAAAAAGTGGTTAAGATTATCTTGTTTGGCTGGACAAAAAGATGAGTTAGAGTTTGTGTGGTATTTGGTTAGAAAATGGGGAAAAGTCCTAAATGCCCTTAAAAAGTAGATTGGTTAGAGTTTGTGTGGTATGTGGTATCCCAGTAACAATTGTCACATGTGGCAGATAACATTGCGCCAACAAGGTGACAACATGGGGTGCACATTTGGTGTGTATGGAAGACTAGTAGCATAGAGATGCTCTTAGGATTCTCTACCTAAATGAGAGGCTTAATGGTGCACTTATGAGTCACATAATGGGTGACATTCATATAGTGCATAATGGGGGGACTTAATGGGTGTATTGATGTAGAGGGACATTATGAGGGGCATTGATGCCTTGTATGAGGAGAGGCCTATATAAGGAGCCATCTCCCTCACTTGTAACTCATTCCATCATTTTTTGAGAATAATGCACACTAGAGAGTTCTCCCATCTTCTTTTCTTATTCTTGCTTTCTTTGCTTGCTTGTGAGTTTGAGAGAAGGCTGTTTAGTTCTCTAACGAAATTGAGAGCTACGACTGAGAGTAAGGCCGTGACAAGTGGTATCAGAGCCCGGTTTGGCTAGGTGCTAGCAAAGAAGAAGCAATAGCCAAACAAAGAGGAAGAGCCTCACCAAAAATGTCGGGATCAGATAGCGGTGTTACCGATGCTGAGAAGCAAGTGGAATAGAATCCACAAAGGGCTCGAGGCCAAAAGGTACATCGACCACTCGTGATCCTTTCACGGCTCTAGAGAAGCGTGTCTCTATAGTAGAGATGAAGATGGCTGAAGATGTCACCGCCATGGAGGATTCGGGACCTAACTTCGCCCAAGTCCAAACTGACGTTCAATGAATGAATGCTCGGTTGTCGAGTTTGGAGATAAGTCATGATGGCATATGAGAAGAGCTTGTGGCCCTCATCAACAACACCATCTTCACCTCCATAAACAATCCGATTGAAGTTTTGAAAGAGCATGTCTAGGCTGTGCTGGGCGGCGTGAAGGAGGAGATTGCGGACCTCAAGAGTGAGGTCACTCTCATGAAGAGAGCCATGACTAGCGGACCAACCCCAAAGCAATCTGTCCCACGTGTTGATGTTCCAAGACCAAAGAACTTCGAAGGTTCAAGGAACGCGAGGGAGTTAGAGAACTTCTTTTGGGGTCTTGAGCAGTACTTCAAGGCATGTGACATCCAAGAGGATGAGGGAAAACTTCATACCGCTCCACTTTACTTGGTCGATATTGCTATGGTGTGGTGGAGGAGACGTGAAGCGGACGCCGAAAGGGGTACATGTGTGATGGCAACATGGGAAGATTTCAAGGGAGAAATCAAGAGGCAGTTCTATCCAGAGAACATTGAGTTTGAAGCCCGTTTGAGGTTGAGAAGACTCACCTAGAAGGGTGGAGTTCGAGAATATATGAAGGAATTCTCGGAGCTCTTCTAGAGATCCTAGACATCACGGACAAGGAGGTCATGCACGACTTTCTTGATGGGCTGCAACCATGGGCCAAGATGAAAATGCAACGTCGAGGAGTGCAAGACCTTGCAACTTCCATGGCCACAGCGGAGTCTTTTGTTGAGTACAAAAGGCAAGAGAGGAACACCAAGAAGAAGAATTCAAAGCCTAAGGGCGGATAACCGCAACGACCTTTCAAGGAGGGCACTCACACTCAGCAAAAACAAGGTGGTCCAAGCAAAGGGGGTAAGTATGAACCAAAAATAGTATCTTGTTTCCTTTGAGATGGACCACATCGAGTGCAAGGAAGGCGAGATTGGCGGCCATGGAAGCTCAAGATGAAGAACCCAAGGCAACGGAGGCCAAGATTGGCTCAATCCCCAAGCTTGGCACGGTGAAGACCGACGTCAAGGAGAGTAAGCGTGGGAGGTGCTATGTTCTGACCCAATTCATGATGGTGAGTCAAAAGCCTTGGTAAATACTGGTGCCACGGACAACTTCCTTCACATCGAGGAGGCAAACCGGCTGGGTATTGCCTATGAGAAGGGGCAAGGGAGGCTCAAGACGATTAACTCGAAGTCCATCTCGATCCATAGAGTTGCACACAATGTGCTAGTGAAGCTTGGCGAGTGGGAAGGCTTCATTGAATTTTATTTCATCACCATAGACAATCACCCTGTCATCCTCGGCATTAACTTCCTCGACAAGGAGGGAGTGCTCTTGAAACCCAACTCCAACACCATGTGTTTGGAGAAGGGAGGGGAGTTCCATGCGGTCCATCTCTTGAGAGAAGATGCCCCCCCCCCCCCCATAGTG